TGATTAAATGTAGTGACTTCTTTTTTTAAGCCTTTTATTTTTAAACTGTTAAAGTTAAACTATTAACTAGGATATAATTAAAGTTTGTGTTCAAACATTTTATTTGCTTTACTAGGTAATTTTTTGATATTTTTATTTTGTTTTTCTTTTGTTTTTTTGGAACCAGATACCTTTATTTTAATAAACAATAAGCAGTAATTTGCTTAAAAACCTGAGTTTTCTCCTGTATGAAGAGGATCTTTCCACAACATTAGTGGAACATTTATTTTTAAAATAAGATGAGTTAAAAAAAGAATAGTACATCATTATAATTTAAAGATGTATTCTGTCAGCTGTATTAAATACGGACTAAATAAAGAAAAAAAAAAGTTTCTTAGACAATATTAAACTTGGACAAATTCAGATGATGAAACAAAAGAATAAATTACAGCTTGTTAGAGCGACATACCCGTATAATTATAGTTTTACATCTCTGTACAGTGGAAATTATACTTTTTCTTTTTTAATTCAGTACCATTATAGGTTCATGTTCTTCTAATCATATAAATTATTTTAATAATAAGTAAGAAAATATTTTGTTTATTTAGTCAGCATTTAATGCAGCTGGTGCCATTAAAAATAAATATAAGTGTATTTTTTATTCAATCAATTACAAAAAGATTTAACCTTTTAATATTTTAGAAAGATGTCCTTGATAGCAGAGAAAACCAGCTTTAATGGAAATTGCTGCTTTACCAATTGATCGTTAGTCAATTAATAAGTTCAATCAACTCAAGAATATTATTAAAGGTTAGATTATAAAAGATCAATTATTAATAATCAATAAAGATTATTAAATACATTTCTTCCATAAACAGTAAGCCTTTTTAACATTTCTCCTGTCATTTTAGATTTTGTTTTGCTTTCTTTCTGTGTGGATTAAATAAATTGCTTTGAACATCTGGTGAAAAGTACATGTCAGTAGCACTTTTACAAATGTGTTTACTATGAAAGATGTTTCCTCGTTCAATAATTGTTTGTTTTTTTAGGTAAAGAGACATTTAAAGTGAAGATAAGTCCCCTCAATGAGGAGGAGTACATCCGTGTTCATGTTCCTCCACCTCTGGACAGAGGAGACGGGTCCTTTCTGATGAGGTACCGCCTTTATGGATCTGCACTCAAAGGCCTGAAGGTGGACATCTTCCACCAAGACGTCGCTGTGGCCAAGTCGCCCTACATCATCCAAGGTGTGTTGCCTTTTTTTTTTTTTTTAACTTGGGTTATCAATTTGGTCTTGTTTAGTTTAAATGAGAAGGTTGTTTTTTATTTTACGGCGGCATCAATGTGTGAAGTCAGAGACGAGTAATAAATGACCGTACAGGCAGTTTTGTTATCTACTCTACTTGTGTATTTTTAAACCTTTTATTAACGTAGAACAGAGATTAGCCTATATATGCTTTGGTAACGTTACCGACCACGATGGAGGAGGAAAATGTGATGAAAGCTGAGATAAGCAACAGGAAAAAAGTGGCCTTTTTTCCATGTGGTCGATGTTTAAAGCTTTTATTAACTTAACTAAAACCTTCTCATTTCCTTGCAGGCCCAGTTTATCATGAATTCTGCGACTGCCCTGAATCTGACGCTTCCGTTTGGCAGAGCGTCCTGCAGTGTCCCACCAACGAACCTCAGATCCAGGCCGACTTCCAATCCTTTCCCACCATCGACCTGCAGCGTCTCCGACAGGAAGTGCCCCTCCGATTCTCCAACAGAGGAGGCCTCATCCATTACGCCATCATTGATAACAAGGTGCACCGCCGCACCCTGGGGAAGTACACCGACTTCAAGATGTTCTCTGATGAAATGCTGCTGTCGCTGACCAGAAAGGTGAGATTGTGTGGATTCATCGACTTTTTCTGGAATGTAATAGTTGCTGTTTGGCTATTAGGATGTTTTCTTGTTATGTGGTTAAGGTGAGAGTGCCTGATGTGGAGTTTTTCCTGAATGTGGGCGACTGGCCTTTGGAGACGAGGATTGAAGGAGCTCTTCCGATCCTCTCCTGGTGTGGCTCTACGGATACGAGGGACGTCGTCCTTCCGACCTACGAGGTGACGCACTCCACCCTGGAGACCATGAGAGGCGTCACCAACGACCTCCTCTCTGTTCAAGGCAACACAGGTAAGCAAAAAACAAAGAAAAAAAGAAACGAAGGGAGACTTTATAAATGGACAGCTATTAGTGATGGATGTTAAAGGAATAGTACACCCAAAACATGATTAGCCTTCATTTTCTACTCACCCCCATGCTGAACAACACTCTGGAGTACTTTTTTGATATCTC